TCTCCTTTCCTCTCCTATCCTCTTTCCCCTCCCCTCTCCTCCCTTCTTTCTCCTCCCCTCTCTTCTTTCCTTTCCCCTCTCTCCCCTCTCCTCCCCTCTTCCTTCTCTATTCTCCCCTTTCCTTCTCTCCTCTCACCTTTCCTTTCCCCTCTCCTCCCATCTTCTTTCTCCCTTCTCCCCGAGAGGTGAGAAGGAAGAGAGAGAGGGGAGGGAGAAAAAGAGTAAGAAAATGGGGAGGGATAAAAAAAGGAGATGGGGGTGAAGAAGAGAAGGGGGAGGAATAGTAGAGAGAAAGATATGGAAGAGGAGGTGGAGGCGGAGGAGGAGGAGGAGGAGGAAGAGGAGGAGGAGGAGGAGGAGGAGGAGGAGGAGGAGGAGGAGGAGGAGGAGGAGGAGAAGGAGGAAGAGGAGGAGGAGGAGAAGGAGGAGGAGGAAGAGGAGGAGAAGAAGGAGGGGGATGAGGAGGAGTAGAAGGAGAAGGAGGAGGAGGAGGAGTAGGAATAGGAGTAGGAGGAGGAGTAGGAATAGGAGGAGGAATAGGAGGAGAAGAAGGAAATTAGAGAAAAGAGCAGGAGGAATCGCCCAGCACAAGAGAGTGTGTCAGAGAGGCCAGTGACACATTGAGCCATACACGTGCTGAAAAGGAAACGGGGAGGCAGTGAGACCGGGTGAAGGGAAGGTCGGGAGAGAGCGGGAGAGGGAAAGAGATAGAGGGAGAGAGAGAAGGGGAGATAAAGAGAGAGAGAGAGAGGGAAAGTAAGAAGGAGAGAGGGAGAAGTAGGGAAATACGAGTAGAAGGTAAAAGGAAAGGGAGAGGGAAACGGAAAAGGAGAGGGGTAGGGAGAGGAAGAGTGAGAGGGATGAGCCGTGCCAACTCCCTTCCCCTCCCTCCCCCCCTCCGGGTTCTCGACTCCTAGAATCTCCTTTGCCACGTTCCCAGGGTGATAAGGGGCGTCCTTCCCCACTTTACAGAATTCAAGATGTATATCACAACAGATACGTTTAGTATTAAAAAAAATATCAGATATATGTCTACACATTTGTACGTACACACACACATTCGCACAAACTCATCCACTTAAACACACACACACACACACACACACACACACACACACACACACACACACACACACACACACACACACACACACACACACACACACACCAACAAAGACAAACAAACGATCCAACGCACAAACACACGAACTCAGCGTATCCGCGTGAACAAACCCAAAAACATAAGCCAACCAATTTAACATAAATACACGAACGGCACACTATCAACTGTTCTTATAGAAAAAAAAATATATATATATCGTTCTAGCACACTTTGCCTCAGGTAAGAATTATGACTGCCGTAAAGCTTCGCCAGGGTTGGGAAATCAGCATTATAATTCTCGCGTCCTTGACTAATAAACCTCGCCAAAAAAGTTAATAAATGAAAATAAGATAAAGTAAAAATAATATATTTTTAAAAATATTGACTTTGGGCTATTCGTTCTTTCATAATGGAATATGTCAGGCTGAGAGAGAGAGAGAGAGAGAGAGAGAGAGAGAGAGAGGAGAGAGAGAGAGAGAGAGAGAGAGAGAGAGAGAGAGAGAGAGAGAGAGAGAGAGAGAGAGAAGAGAGAGAGGGAGAAAAAGGGAGAGAGAGAAACGGGGGGAAAGAGGGAGAAATAGAGAGACGGGAAGAGAGGGAGAGAGAGAGGAGGGAGGGGGAGAAGCAGGGGGGAGAGAAGGAGGAGGAGGAGGAGGGAGGAGGAGGAGGAGGAGGAGGAGGAGGAGGAGGAGGAGGAGGAGGAGGAGCAAGAGGAGAAAAGAAAAGTCCAAAGAGAGCTCGGCGGCGACCAAACGCCTTCATTCACAGAAACTCGCCCCAACTCGTCATCCCGAGGCATGTAGCAACACTCATAAAATTCCCTCATACTTTATCACACTAGAATCCTTTGGCAACACCCTCTCCTCCGCCCCCCCCCGTTACCCTTCCCCTTCTCCATTCCTCCCTTCCCCCTCTTCCCTCCCCCTCCATCCCCTCCATCACCCTTTCTACCTCTCCCTGGTCCACCCTTCCCGTCCCCCACCCTTCACCTTTCTCCCCCCCCCCTCACTTCACATCGACAGAGTCTGGCGCGAAGCTACATATTTCTGCACACGGAGACACCACGCCATCCCTCGCGCACACACACACACACATACACACGCGGGCGTACACATACATACACGTATACACACATTTCAAACCTTACACACGCGCAGCACATATTTATATCTAAACAGGCAGAATACATACAAACGTACATACATACAAATATGACCACTCATATACAAACCCATGCACATAATTTTTTTATCTGTACATTCAGAAAAGAGTCCACAGATTTTCGTAATGTTAAGTTCTAAGTAAAAAGAAAGACGAAAACAGGATAAACTCTAGTAACACAGCATCATCATTCTCACAATCAAAAGATACAAATCCTCTAACCAAGTGACCTCCAAGATATTTCGCTCCCAAAACAACGGCACAAACGTCTTTTAGTCAACAAACCAGCACACACATGCTCCCTCTCTCTCTCTCTCTCTCTCTCTCTCTCTCTCTCTCTCTCTCTCTCTCTCTCTCTCTCTCTCTCTCTCTCTCTCTCTCTCTCTCTCTCTCTCTTTCTCTCACACACACATACATTATATATATATATATATATATATATATATATATATATATATATATATATATATATATATATATATATATATATATATATATATATAACAAAAAATAGATAAATAAAATGACTGCAAAGTGCTTACTGTGTTTTCGTGTGCGTGTCACATTCAATTCCTTTACTAATTTTCCTTCTCACAGGAACTAAGAGGAAGAAAAAAAGGAAACGCGAAGGGAAGGACAGCGAAAATAAAAAAAAAGAAAAGAAAAGAGAGCGAAAGGAGGAGCAAGAGGAAGATCGCGAGAAAGAGATTTACATATTGACCAAGAAAAGAAGCAGCCGCAGGCGAGAGCACGGGACACGTACTATTTTGGCAAATGAAGACACGCCGACGAGAAGAAACAAGGAAAGAAAGACGAAAGGAAAAAGAAAGAAAAAAGAGAGAAAGAATCATGCTGTGTTCTGTCACACCTTCCCCCCTGCCCCCCCCCCCCCTCGAACTGACACCTGTCACCTGTCACGTCCTTCATGCTTCTTGTCATGACCGAAGTAAAGTCCTTCACTCTTGCGATAAAATCGGGAGAATGAAAAGGTATAATTCCATAGTCTGTAATTATCACATTTTCTTTCTTTCTGTCTCTCTCTTTTCTATTCTTCTTGAGAGGCGGGATAATGGGGAAGAGGGATTTATCTTTATTGTCATTCAATCATACCTCTTCGTTTATCACTATCAATAATGATAATTCTTGGGCTCTGTTTTTTTCTTTTCTTTTCTTCTTCCATCGTCTTCAGGTTTATCTGTATTTATCTTTACAACTCTATGTTTCTCAATCACCAAATAGTGTCTTTGTATGGAAACATTTAAATTCTACCACACACACACACACACACACACACACACACACACACACACACACACACACACACACACACACACACACCATTCAACCTCCCGGCCACTTTTCGCCCCTCTTATACCCTTGGGTCCGCGTGCCCGGCTCATCCGCACACGCTCGCCCGGATATCCCGCGGAATTAGCGGACTAATCGCTTGCTTGAAAAATCGCTAACGAATCGGTTGTTTGATCGTTATCATGCTAAGCCGGCGTGGCACTTAGCGGCCCCCGGAACCCGGCCGTCGCTGAGGGCCCGGGGATCTGGCCCGACTTAGGATACATGTTTGTTCAGATGACCGAACTCAGGGTGCCACGGAAGAGGGCTGGGGGGGGGGGGGGGGTGCTCGGGGGGGAAGGGAGAGGACGAGAGAAGGGAGGGAGGAGTGAGGGAAGGAACGGAAGGAGGAAGAGAGGAGGGGAGAATTGAGGGAAGGAACGGGAAGGGAAGGGAAGGGAAGGGAAAGAAGCCCCCTGCCCGCCTGCGTGTATGTGTGCGGAGATAAAGGGGGGAAGAGACGGCGCTGTCGGTATGGTCGTCAGGTTGATCCGCTCGCCGCGCGGCCCTCGATCTTAACAACGTCGCCCCTGCTGGAGGGAGCGCTGATCCCCGCGACGGCTGTAGATTTGTCTCGATCGGGTGCGGCGGTCCGATGGAGCGGCGAGATAAGGCCCAGAATTCATAACAGCGGCGGGGGCGCCCCTCCGACGGCCGTAAACTTTAAAGAAGGGAATTCGGCGCATCTGGGGACCGACCGCCTCTCTGCCTCGCACTCACTCGCCTCCCCTGCCCCCACCCCCAACCCCCCCCACCCTCTCTCTCTCTCGCTCTCTCTCTCTCGCTCTCTCTCTCTCTCTCTCTCTCTCTCTCTCTCTCTCTCTCTCTCTCTCTCTCTCTCTCTCTCTCTTTCTCTCTCTCTCTCTCTCGCCTCCCAGCAAAAGAACAGAGAGGAACACAGAGAGAAAACGTGAATGACGAAAGTCGAGCGAGAGCCTGGTTTAACGAGAAGGAAAATAAGAGGAAAGTAAACGAAGGCTGGTGAGTAAAGAAAAAATAAAAGGAAAAGGCAAGAACAGAGCAAAAGAAGAGGAAAACAAGACAACCCACCGACACTTAAGCGCTAGACAATTTTTTTTTCGATGCGGTAAGATTATCAAACGCGACGATAAAAATAAATTCCGCCAACACACACTCCCGCCTCTTTGCGCCTTGCCTCGACAGCTGTAGGAATTGCCAACTGATATTCATCCTCTGTCAAGAATATGGCAAGGCGGGGGTGCGGGGAGGGGGAGGGGCGCTGGCATCTGTTATGCTGGCCGAGGAACACAAGACGTTGCGTGGGCGTGGGCGTGTGGATTCACTTCATCTGTTTCGCTTTTTGTTGGAGGTGAGAGGGGGGGGGGGGGGTGGCGATGGAGGAGAAGGCGTTCGTGACTGAGGTTTTACAATGTTCGTCCCGCGGGAGGAGGACGAGAAGACGGCGGCGGGGCACCTGCGGGCGTGGGAAAATTATGCAAATGAGAATGGTAGCAAATCTCGCGGCTACGTCCGGACATGGTGGGCACTGCGATGGCGGAGCGGGCAGGAGCGAGAGGGGAGGAGCGACACTCCACAAGGGGAGGGGAGCAGGGGGGGCGAGTGGGGGGCGAGCGAGGGGGTATGCAAACGAGGCACCAATGCCAGCCCTCCCGTCTACCTTCCGCCGGGGGAGAGGGGCGAGGGGGGGCATGGGGGGGAGTGGGGCGCGTGGGCTGCCATAGGCTACCTCGGTCTGAAAACTTACCGCGCGTGACTTAGCAGCGTGGCACTTAACCCTCCCCCTCCCCCCCCGACCGTCTCCGCCGCGCCGTCTCTCCTCCTCCATTTTAGGCTTAGAAACCATTCCATCATCGATTGGAATTTGAGTCGCGGCGCGAAACAGGGAGGAAGACGGAAAACGAGAGAGCAACGAGGCACTCATTAGCCACGTTGGCAGCACGGCAAGTAAGGAAGGAGGGAAGGAGCGACGGAGGGCACGCTGGGCAGGAGGGGCAAGGGCGAGCAGAAGTGCCCAGGAAAGCGGCGCGGCGCCCGCTAATTTTACAGCGGCGTCGCGGCCTCCGCCACTTTGAATATTCACGAGGCTCCACCCCTCGCCGCCCCGCCGCTCAGGGCGACGCTCCCGCCGCGCCGCCGAGGGGAAGCTTCCTGCACTCGCCACCTGACACAACTTACCCGCTTATTCCCCCCGCTACCCGACGGCGGAACCGGCCGGGACCCGACCCGCGGGGAGGACCGAGGCCCCGACGCCAGCCCGACGGGCGAAAACCTGACGGCGAACCGGCCGAAAACACGCTTTAAAATACCGAAGTAAATTTCAATATGCAAATCAGGTATAATGTCGCAGTGCCTCACTCCCTCCAACCCCTCCCCCCCCCCTCTGCCTACTCCTCGGCGCACCTAACATGGCCGGGCCGCGCGCCTCGATATCGAGTTTGCATTTCAATCTTTTTTTTCTCTCTCTCTTTCTTCTTATAATTATCCTTTCCCTTTCCTTCGCTTAATCGCTGGCCATGTTAGGTCATGCTCGCTGCAGGCTAAACGCGGCTCTTGCTAAGTTTACACACAATATTGGTATTTGCTAAAGATATTCGAGAGAGAGAATAAAACATGGAGAGAGACTCGGGACAGCGAGGCAAGGAGAGAGAGAGAGAGAGAGAGAGAGAGAGAGAGAGAGAGAGAGAGAGAGAGAGAGAGAGAGAGAGAGAGAGAGAGAGAGAGAGAGAGAGAGAGAGAGAGAGAGAGAGAGAGAGAGAGAGAGAGAGAGATGGAATCAAACTGATATATTTTCAATTTTGAATCGAATGCAATAATAACAATAACAACAACAATGAGGATTAAGATGACAATAATGATACTACTACTACAAGTAATAATAATAATGACCATGAAAACAATAATAATAATAATGATTATGAAAACAATAATAACAATAATGATAATAAAAATAATAATAATAATAATAACAACAATAATAACAATAATGATAATAATAATAATAATGATAATAATAACAATAATAACAATAATAACAATAATAACAATAATGATAATAATAATAACAATAACAGTAACAATAACAATAACAATGATAATAGTAAAAACAATAATGATAACAATAACAATAACAATAATAATAATAATGATGATGATTGTAAAAATTATAATAATAGTAATGAGATTAATGACATTAATGACAAAGAATAATGATAATAATGGTAAAAATAATAATAATGATAATAATAACAATAATGATAATAACAATAATAATAACAATAACAATAATAATAATAATGATAATAATAATAACAATAATAATAATAATAATAATAATAATAATAATAACAATAACAATAACAACAATATAATCACGTTGACGCTCTAACGAAACATAAGAACGAAAACGACAGTAAGAACAGCCATCGCAATAACAACAATCAAAAATCCAAACCAGAGTGATAGACAAACGACAAGATCAAAAAAAAGCACAACCAAGACAGCACGAACGCTAAAAACGAACACCAAAATAACAGACCCAATCAGGCGCTTTTTCTGTTCCTCTCCCACCGCAAGCACCTGGCAAGCACGAGTAACACAAGCAGGGAGGGAATCGCGCGAAAAAGGTGGAGAGAGAGAGAGTGCCATTTGCGTCCAAGTTCCATCGCGTTTCGGTTTGTACTTGGTGACCCGCGGGGAGACTTGACCTTTGAACTTTTGACTGCGTGGAACTTCAAAGGATGAAGAAAGGAAGGAAGAGAGATGATGGGAAGAAAGGAAGGAAGAGAGATGATGGGAAGAAAGGAAGGAAGATAGATGATGGGAAGAAAGGAAGGGAGAGAGATGATGGGAAGAAAGGAAGGGAAGAGAGATGATGGGAAGAAAGGAAGGAAGAGAGATGATGGGAAGAAAGGAAGGAAGAGAGATGATGGGAAGAAAGGAAGGAAGAGAGATGATGGGAAGAAAGGAAGGAAGAGAGATGATGGGAAGAAAGGAAGGAAGAGAGATGATGGGAAGAAAGGAAGGAAGAGAGATGATGGGAAGAAAGGAAGGAAGAGAGATGATAGGAAGAAAGGAAGGAAGAGAGATGATGGGAAGAAAGGAAGGAAGAGAGATGATGGGAAGAAAGGAAGGAAGAGAGATGATGGGAAGGAAGAGAGATGATGGGAAGAAAGGAGGGTAGAAAGATGATGGGAAGAAAGGAAGGAAGAAGGGAAGGGCAGAAAGTAGGAACGGAAAGGAAAGGAAAGGAAAGGAAAGGAAAGGAAAGGAAAGGAAAGGAGAGGAAAGGAGGATAGACAGAAAGAAAGGAAGGAAGGAATTAATGAAAAAGGAGGCAAGAAAGAAAGTACGAAGAAAGAAGAAAACACAGAAAGACGAAAAAATAAGAATGGGGAAGAGAGGCAGAAAGAAAGGACGAAAGAAAGGGAAGAGGGAAGAAAGAAAAAAGGATAGGATTTGGAAGATGACCCTAATTCAATTTATATATATATATATATATATATATGCAAAACAGTTCATATCAAGTTGAAAAAGGCGACCTTTCTCTCTCCCTTGCTATGGCCGTTTCACCTGTTCCAGCCACCCCCCCCCCCCTTTCATCCCCCTTTCTTCTCCCCCTCTTCCACCCCCCTCTCAATCCCGCAGGTCGCGACCGCCCCCATTATCGTCACGGCGGTTGTGACTCTACCGCAGGCGAACCGCAACCGCGATGTCCTATTAACGAAAGAAAAAAGAAAGAAAAAAAAATGGGTCCTTCGTGTCCTCATGTCTTGACTCTTCGATACGAACGAGGAAATCAAGCGAAGAAAGTTTGCAAAATGAACGAGAAAGAGAGAAACAAGGACGGCGATAAAAGACAAAAAGAGAGAAACATAAAAGATAATGAAAAAAAAGGTAAATGAAAATGAAAGTTCGCGAACGCCCAATCGGCTCCTCATAAATTCTTTGGGGAATATGCGAGCTTCTTATAATTTCATAGAAATCGCGGTATGTGCGCGACTATAAATTAAGTTAATTTCACGAGTTAGTGATCGAGCGAGTCTTACTCCAAGATTAAAAAAAAAAAGAACGCGAATAAACACGACAAAGAAAATGGTTAATCTATTTGCTTTTATCAGTATTTCGCAAGCAAAGGTTCGGGCGCTCTCTTCATCAAAAGTGAACTGAGAATACTTGAGCGTGTCACTTGCGGGGAGAGGGGGAGGGGGGGCATGTTTAGTACAATAACATATTTCCCTCTTGAGAAATACAGCTGATACAGCGAGGCAATGTATTTGTCCTCGCTCGTGTATTGACGATGGAAGTACGTACAAGCGGGATATTTACGCACACAAGTTTATGCACAAATACAAGCGCACAGACACACACACACAAACTTTAATCCTGGAGTTGGGCCAAGGTGAGACCCTCCCCCTTCCCCTCCCCTTCCCACTAACCCCTATCCCTTCCCCAATCCCTACCCCATCGCTTCCCCTCCCCTTCCCCATCCCTTCCCGTAACCTCATCCCCATCCCCTAACCCTCTCCTTCCTTCCCCCCAACCCAGCCCCTGCCCTTGCCCTTTCCTTTCCCCTCCCTCCCCCCATCCTTTCCCCTTCCCCTCCCTCCCCTACTCTTTCCCCTCCATCCCCCATCATTTCCCCTTCCCCTCCTTCCCCCCTACCTTTCCCCCAACCTCACTCTATCCCGTTCCCCTCCCTCCCCCGAACCCCCTCCTTCCCCCTTCTCCTACCCCAACCCCCTCCTTCCCTCTTCTCCTCCCCCCTCTTCCTCCCTACCCCCCTCTTGCCCCAATGACGAAAAATAATGCCTAAGTGCTCAGGCTCAAGCGCTGCGCCGGATTTAACATAGACATCACATGAGCTTTAGCGCCTTGAACCGCCACGAAGCCGTGCTTTATCCGGCATTTTTTCTAACCCCCCCCCCCACACCCCGACACTAGTTTCCCCCTTCCCCCATTCCACCCCCCCCTTCCCCTCCCCCTCCCCCACTTCTTCTTAGCGTTGTGTTAACTTCGTCCCTCCTTGCACCTCTTTATCCAGTTTCGTTTTCGCTCTTATCCTTATTTTTTCTTTCTGTTCCTCTCACAACCGTATCGGCTTTCTTGTTTGTCTTTCCATTTTTTTTTCTTTTTTTCTCTAAAGCAAGAGAGAATATGTTAGTAAGAAAGAGAGAGAGAGAGAGAGAGAGAGAGAGAGAGAGAGAGAGAGAGAGAGAGAGAGAGAGAGAGAGAGAGAGAGAGAGAGAGAGAGAGAGAGAGAGAGAGAAATGTTAGAAAGCCTATTTCTTCCCGAACACAAACGCCATCCTAACTCCACAACACTTGAAAAAAAAGAAAGAAAAAACAACAAAAAACAAAGATCAAGACGTAAAAAAACAAATGTAAATAATAACGCTTCAAGAATGATAATACTTCGAGAGGTGCAACAGAAAGATACAGATAGACAGCTAGATAGATAGATCTTCCCCTCCTCATCTCTCTCTCTCTCTCTCTCTCTCTCTCTCTCTCTCTCTCTCTCTCTCTCTCTCTCTCTCTCTCTCTCTCTCCTCTCTCTCTCTCTCTCACTCCCTCTCTCTCTCTCCGTATGTATCTTCTTTCAGAGAGGGATTTGGGAAGGAGGGAGAGGGGGAGGGAGGGAGGGAGGGAGGGAGGGAGGGAGGGAGGGAGGGAGGGAGGGAGGGAGGGAGAGAGGGAGGGAGAGGAGAGAGAGAGAGAGAGAGAGAGAGAGAGAGAGAGAGAGAGAGAGAGAGAGAGAGAGAGAGAGAGAGAGAGAGAGAGAGAGAGAGAGGGTGGGGTGGGGGGGGGGGGTCAGTGTACGAGAAGAGTTGCTTATATATTTAGCCATCGCGCAGCTTTGGTTGTTGCTGCTTTTGCTGTCGCTGGTGTCCGGGCGGCCGGGGGGGGGGGGGGGGTGAGGGAGAAGGTTTGCATGGGATGGTGGATAGGGAGGGATGGAAGGGAGGGAGGGGGGTGAGGGAGAGAGGAGAAATAGGGAGAGAGGGGGGAGGGAGACATATAAGAGAGGAGAGGGAGGGGTGCTGGAGACATCAAAAAAGAAAAATAAAGGAACTTACACACACACACACACACACACACACACACACACACACACACACACACACACTCACACACACACACACACACACACACACACACACACACACACATATATATATATATATATATATATATATATATATATATATATATATATATATATATATGTACATATGTACATATGTACATATACACATATACACATATACACATTCATATATATATATATATATATATATATATATATATATATA